GACTCGCCACGTCAAAAACGCACCCAATGAAAAGAAACAGCAAGCCTCGGATGAGTGACTCCCCTTTTGATGACGACCATGGCAAGCGAATTAAGGACTATTTGAGGACATGTACCTGGAATGTCCGGACTCTTTATTTGGAAGGTGACTCCCTATCGTGCCACTTATTCAACCTGCTGCTGGAGAAAATAATTCGAGCTGCTAACATATGCCGATGATATTGATATCAGTTGGTGCACAGCTCCTACCAACAGGTACTACTTCGGACTGAGTAGGCAATTGAGAAGTAAAGTCCTCTCTCGATGAACAGAGACTAAACTCTCTAAGGTGCAGAGGCATAGACGATGACAACATCCGATTAGTCGGTATTACGAGTTTTCGGGAGAAAGGTTATGCGGAAGATTAATGGTCATTTGCGCATTGCTAACGGCGAGTACCGCATTCGATGCCGATTTATGCCACAAACTTAAATTGACAACCCATACTTCGTAAATTCTTTGTTTATTTTTCGCTTGTAACACTGGTATTGGAGCTATGGTTTGCAAATGTTTTTGTTTTTCATTATTAAAATAGATATGAAGTTATAGTTCAGCGATGGAGAACTGCAAAGTCGTAATTTCTTGAACACAGCTTCAAAAACCTTACACAATTCAAACAAGTCTTAAAGAATGGACACATTAACGAGTAGCCATCCTTAGATTTGGCGTTGTCCGGCTCGAAGCACCATGTAAATTCCACTAACTCACCTTTTGTGCGGTACAGTTCAAATTCTTTATATTTTCGCACGTTCTCGTTCACCACAGGGGTTTGGTTTATAAAAATGGAAAAAATGGAAAAATGAATTTGATTCAATGTACATACGCTTGTATATATGTATATTCCGGTTTTTTCTATGTTTGTGTACAATTTTAATGTTCACTTTATAATTTATTATTAAATTTATTATATAATTATTATGATTTCTAATAAAACACGATCCTTCCAGAGGATTGGATTCCAAGCAATTTTATATATACTTGTATGTACAGGTACATACACTCTATATAACTCATACACTGACCGTCATATTCGGCACACGGTTTGTTAGAAAAACGAAAATCGTTATACTTATGTAGCATATGGGAGTTATAATATACTAAAACCAAAAATCTTTTAATGACAAAGCTTTTTTTAACAAGTAAGGAAGGGCTAAGGTTGGGTGTCACTGAACATTTTATACTCTCGCATCAATACCGTTTTATTCCGCTATCATCATTGGTTCCTAATATATATATTATACAGAGAAGGCATCAGATGGAATTCAAAATAGCGTTATATTGGAAGAAGGCGTGGTTGTGAACCGATTTGACCCATATTTCATACATGTCATCAGGGTATTAAGAAAATATTATATACCGAATTTCATTGAAATCGGTCGAGTAGTTCCTGAGATATGGTTTTTGGTCCATAAGTGGGCGACGCCACGCCCATTTTCAGTTTAAAAAAAAGCCTGGGTGCAGCTTCCCTCTGCCATTTCTTCCGTAAAATTTAGTGTTTCTTACGTTTTTTGTTAGTCGGTTAACGCACTTTTAGTGATTTTCAACATAACCTTTGTATGGGAGGTGAGTGTGGTTATTATCCGATTTCTTTCATTTTTGAATTTATATGGAAATGTCTCTAGAAAACGACCCTGTAGAGTTTGGTTGACATAGCTATAATAGTTTCCGAGATATGTACAAAAAAATTAGTAGGGGGTGGGGCCACGCCCACTTTTCCTAATGCATATTTATGGTTTAGTTATGACACTTTATAAGTTTTCGGTTTTCTCCATTTTGTGGGCGTGGCAGTGGGCCGATTTTGCCCATCTTCGAACTTAACCTTCCTATGGAACCAAGAAAAACGTGTACCAAGTTTCATCATGATATCTCAATATTTACTCAAGTTACAGCTTGCACGGACGGATGGACGGACGGACAGACAGACATTGGATTTCAACTCTACTCGTCACCCTGATCACTTTGGTATATATAACCCTATATCTAACTCTTTAATTTTAGGACTTACAAACAACCGTTATGTGAACAAAACTATAATACTCTCTTTAGCAACTTTGTTGCGAGAGTATAGAAACTGGTTTAATGAACAAGTGAAGGTAACGCACTTACATATATTGCTAGACAATGCAAACTGCTGTTCACATTCATTAGTAGATCTTAATAAGGGCATATTTGAATTATCATAAAAGTTTCGTCCAATTCAGAAAATAACTTAAAAGAACTTTTCCTTGAAATATGTAAACGGGAATGTCCCAAACAAAATTCTATTTGACGAAGGCTCATTATGGCAATATCCCTATATCTCTTTCTTACTATGCTGCATCCCAGTAACATAACCGAAATAAAAGTGTTTTATAAAAAGTAATTTCTAACCTTACCCCAAATGGGACTCGAACCCACAATCTTCGGCTTAGGAGGCCGACGCCTTATCCATTAGGCCACTGGGGCGAATCAAACATATTAACAATATTCTCAAACTTAGACACGGCAGTTTTGAATATTGTTTCTGTTTATGGTTCTTAACCATATTAATCAGCTGTAAATTGACGTTCTTTTTAAACTACTGACACAGCCGACTTTTGTAATTTTTGCAGTAGATGTCGCGTTAATTAAAACACGTTAGGTGCGTGTCCATTATATTATGGGAACTAAAAGTGGCCATACACGACACACATGTGCGTTCGATCGGTATGTGTGCGATTGTGTTTCTTCGTCAATGGGCTTGTTGCGCATACCGATCCATGTTCGCGAAAATGTTTGAATTTTTACGATCGGTGGGCACACATGTGTGTCGTGCATGGCGCTGTGTGCGGATAAAATCGATTTTTTTGAAGATTTTTTTAGGAGGAAAGAAATAATTGATTCAAAAGAAATTTCTAGGCTTTATAATTATGCCTGAACATCTTTCACAAATTTTTTAGATATAAAACCTTTGATATTTTGCATTTGGGAAGCAATTGCCCGAAGCATCTCTCTTTTTCCGACAGCGGGCACGATGCATTTCGCAATTTCTATCGGAAACAAAAAATTCAAAGAGACTCATGTTAAAAATAATTTATCTTCTGATTTATATTACAAAATTCCAAAAAAGTCTAAAATTTTACAATTTTTTTAAAAATTTAAAAAGTGGATTTTGACCAAAAAAAGTTTACCTTTTGCTGTTTAACATAATTTTATGCCAAAGATAATAAACTGTGCCCCAATTCCAAACGACATTTAGTTTTTTCTATCCTGCCCGCTAATTAAGAATAATCGTAAAAATGAAAAACCGAGAAATCGTGCTTCAAAGTTTTGGCTTTTTGCCCAATCGCTCATATATTTATCTGCTAGACGGTCGGCCGTCCTTTAGCTTCGAAAATATTTCAAATTCACATCTAAAACTTTGAAGTCATATTCTTAGATATATATTTAAGCAGAAAAGAGTCTATTGTTTGAAGCTTCTAAAGCAAGCTCCCCCTTAATAAAGATTTCGTATCAGTATTTATTGATCTTATAAAAAATCAATTCGCAATTTTGCAAACGAAAAGTGATAAATATAAAAATAAAATTCAGAAAAAAAAGTTGGAATAATTTATTAACAAAATGAAAAGAAATAGGTAAAGTACTACATTAGAAATAAATTCCAAGAAATGTTCCGCTTGCGAGTCGCACATGTTCACTGTGTGAAGAACGAACGCAAAATGGAATTGTACGTCGTGTATGGCGAAACGATTTCATACAGATCGAACGCACATGTGTGCCGTGTATGGCCCCTTTAACTCAGACGGGATATCAAAGCTTAGAAAAAAATATATTTTTATGTATAGTTTAGTAACATTAATTTAATAAAACCAAAATATATATTTTAACCCACAGAATAAATTCTATCCCTCGGGACTCGCTCGGGATCTTTGACCATATATTAGTTTAAAGCAATATGGCAACCACAAGTATTTGATTTGACATATTTACCAAGTGTTGTCCCCTTCAAAATTTATTTAACACAATCAATGTTTATGCAGAATTTGTTACTGTATATATTTGAGTTTTATTTTTGAGCAAATTGTAATTGCTAAATAGTTCTAAAGTTATTTATTTGTACCATTTTGCCTTAGAATAACAGGAACAGCTATTAGAGTGGGAAAAATGTATTGGGGGAAAAATTGTGTATCTCACAGCATAATGTATGGAATACAATGCTCGCGACAGACTGCAAACGACATCTGTCAAATATTAAAATACACACGTTCTTATGGACAGACTTATTTTGACAGCTGCACGACTACACGACTGCAGGCCGTCAGTTCGTTCTCGCTAACTTCAATTTGATTCTATATTTGCCAAC